GGCACGAGCATTAACTTGGCCGATCCTAACACGACTGGCAATGGATATTTTTTCAATCTCGGTCTCCACTGTTGCAGCCGAACAAGCATTCAGTACAACCGGGCGAATACTTGAAGAACGGAGAAACGCATTGCAACAGGATATTGTTGAAGCTTTGGTGTGCATCAAGAATTGAGACCATTCTGACCAACGCTTACACGATACAATCTCACCGGCAAACCAAGAATGGATTGACGAATTTAATAGATTAACTTTTAATTTTCAAGATGATCCTTCTGCTTGATCTTGATAATTTCTTTATAAATATTTATTTACTTTGTAATTTCTAATTTGTATAGTGTTTATTGTAATCTTGTATAGACTTTGTAAGTTCATCAAATTTGTAATTCGTCCCACAATGATTGCACTCTTTTTTCCTTACTAAGTTTTTATTCCAATTGGGTTTTTCTTGATAAGGTTTTTAATGAGGTAATCATGAATTACAAATTTAAAAATCAATGAAGAAGTAATTTTTTTTATATAGTTCGTTCGTGTGTTCAGTGTTCATTTCAAATTTCAAATTGTAATATACACATTGTAATTATACAAATACTTATTTTAACAACATAAAAATATAATATAAAAAAAAATAAATTTGGGCAGCCGGTCGGGCATCGGGCAGCCCGACCGGGCACGGGCAGGCATCCACTGCCCGAAGCCCGTCCATGGGCAATGTTCGGGTCGGGTCGGACAGCCTGAATTTTTGGGCATTTCGGTGGTCACGGGCGGCCCGTCCAAAGTTTCAGCACTAGACTAAATTTTGGGCTAGAGATTGCCAAAATAGTGAATAGAACCCATATTTAGCCTGTTTAGGAAGTTCCAGGTATAGTTTTCTATACTGTAGATTGGTGTTGGCCTATGGGGTTCGCGATTGATTGGCCTCGTTTATTTCGCGAATTCGAGTTTTCAATTCGAGCTGAGATGTGACATTTTCTGAGAGCTTTTTACTGTAGTAGAAAAAGTTAGATGTGGCATTTTCTAAGAGCTTTTTACTGTAAAAATCTAAAACTGAAAACTCGAATAGGTGAAATGAACGAGGTTAATATTGAGTGCGTTTGAAATTTATTTTAAAATAAATTTATTTTTTATATAAAAATAAAAATAAAAATATTTTTAATTTTAGATAAAAATTATTTTTAAAAATATGTTTAATAATTTTATTAGAGATTATTTTCAGTATAAAAAATTTATTAATGTTTTTATTTCTTTTTCTCTGTTTGAGAGAGGAGAAAACGAAAATAAAAAATGAAAAACGACTAAAAGTTATTTTTCATGTCTCTCTTATTTTATACTAAATTAAAAAATTATTTTTATTTTTTATCTTTATTGCGCCAAACGTCATTTTAAAAACGTTTTTATTTTTTATTTTTAAAAAAATGAGAATAAAAATAAGATCAATTCCAAACACGGTCAAAATGACATTATTATTTATAATAGTCAAAACAAGCAATTTGAATGAGGAAGGGGAAAATGAAAACCTGATGCATGGCATGCAAGTAGGGTCTGTTTTATTTGTTGATTCGAGTTTTTAATTCTAGTTGAGATGCAACTTTATATAAGAGATTTTTACCGTAGTAAATAAATAAATAAATAAATGTAACTGTTTCTAAGAGCTTTTTATTATAGTAAAAAAATGACTGTTTCTAAAAGCTTTTTATTGTAGTAAAACTTGAATTTATCAGTGAAATGAATGGCCGTATTATATCAACTAAAGCACTAAAATGAATGTGATTTGTGATTGTAATTCTGCATAGCAATCAATTGCAAGAAATGCCTCGTTCATTTCACTGATTCGAGTTTAAAATTCAAGTTTTGTTACAATAAAAAACTCTCAGAAATAATCATATCTAATTTTTTACGACAGTAAAAAACTCTCAAATAAAGTCACATTTCAACTCGAACTAAAAACTCAAATCAACGAACTAAACGGCTATATATATATATTCAATTTTTTTCTTCTTTCTCTTTGAACTATGATCGCTTAGATTAGCGCGAAGAAAAAAACAGCGCTTGGTGCGATTGATTACTGCGTTTCTGCAACGTACTCCTAACATATGATTTTTATTTGTTTATAAACTTTTTCTTTGAATAACAAGCAGAACGGTGGACGTGCCGGAGTGGTTATCGGGCATGACTAGAAATCATGTGGGCTCTGCCCGCGCAGGTTCGAATCCTGCCGTTCACGTTTTTCTTTTTCAACTCAACCTTTTTTGTCCCCTCTTTTTCCACAGTTTCACCATTTTACCCAAAACACATGTAAATTAGCCCTTATTTATAAACCACATATTTGAATGTTTTTCTTAGACAAAAAAGTTTAAGGCCCTGTTCATTTCGTTAATTTGAGTTTAAAATTTGAGTTTTGTTACAGTAAAAAACTCTCATAAATAATTAAATTTAATTTTTTTATTACAGTAAAAAATTCTCACATAAAATCACATTTCAACTCAAATTAAAAATTCAAATCAACGAACTGAATGAGTCCTAAATCAAATTTAAATTAGTGTACGACACAACCCGTAAGGGCCGTAACCGTCACTTCAAAAAAAAAAAAAAACTCTTTCGCTCGTCCCCTCCTTTTCGAATTCCCTCTCTCTCTCTCTGTATCACGATTAGGGTTTTCTGGTCTCCGATGTGATAATGGTGACTGATGATCGGTTCTCCGATTTCGTCGATCCGCTCGAGAACTATTCGGGCCTTTCCCTCTTCCCCAAAACTTTCGAAGTTATTCACGCTTCGAATTCCGACGACCTCGACGGCCAACTCCAAGCCATCCACAACCACCTCAAATCCTTGGTACTCTCTAACTTCTCCGATTCCTCAATTTTAGCTCCAATTTTAGGGTTCTCGACAAAAGTCCTGTTCATTGCCATTTGCAACTTGTATTGTGCTTCCGTTTTACATTTTCATATGTTCTTTGAGCTGTTTCTTAGGGTTTTGAAAAACCCATTGATTTTTTTTAAGCATTAATTTCTAGAGTTACTTCTTATACTTTGGTTTTTTTCTTTTTCCTTTTTTGGGAGAGCTGAGAAATTGTACATTTGTACTACAATGTCGAATTTCGCATTTGTGTGGTTTTACAGTTCGCTGGCTTTAGATTGTTAGAAGCTTGTTACTTCATTTTGCTTGGTGTGAATAGTTTGATTTGGGCTGGGGTAAGTTCCTGTGAAATGATGAATTAGCCTTTAAGCGTGTTCATTTGTTTGAGCGTTTGTTTGTGTGGTTTTTGTTATTTTTATTATTCATAATTGATCTTAAAACCCTGCTATTCAGGCCTTGAGAAGTCCCGATAAATTAAGGGAGCAGGCCAATAAAATTCTAGATGGTAATTCTAAAAGTTTGAACACTAAAACTACGAGCGACCTGGCACCAATGGGCAAAAATGAAGCCCTACCTGCCTTGCCCAAGGTTAATCCTCGAGAGCGGAGACCAGCATTGAACCGTAAACGGGCTCGGTTTTCTTTGAAGCCTAATTCCAGGTAGAAGCTTGGTACCTAATTTATTTGATTGAGTCCTACAATTGTTTTATGAAGTGTGCCGCATCTTTATTTACAGTCACCCTGCTGTGAGTTCTGAGCCAGCTTTGGACTTAAAAAAGCTGAAGAATCCAGAGGAATTCTTCATGGCCTATGAAAGACATGAAAGTGAGTTATATTTTCTTTATATCTGGAATCTTCACTGAGAATGTTTATACAAGGCTTGGTTTTATTGTGTTTTGATTGTTTTGCAGACGCCAAGAGGGAAATACTGAAGCAGATTGGTGGCAATCTTTCAGATTCAGAACAGCAGAATACATCTCTAATTGAGCGACCTCGTCGACCAGGAATGCTGGGGCACGATAAAAGGTTTGAATTGCATGTTCTTGTCCTGTTGCCATTTTCATACTTTGCTTCTTCTGTCCCTTTTACCACCCACTCACCTATTTGTTAAAACTTATATAAGCCAGTCTTATTGTGCATAATACAGGAGATCAATCAAATACAAACATCTATATTCGTGTGAGGATTCTGAAACAGGCAAGAATGTTCCATCCTCACAAGAGAGAAATGATTCAAGCATTCTCAGTCCAATCTATCACAGCTCACAAGAAGAAACGGAGCAAGGTTTTACATCACAGGAAACAGAATTAGTTGGTAAGCAGATGTATTATGGGTATCTATGTTTACCTTTTCTTTACCCCTCATGTTCTCTTTTCTATATACTTTTAAAAAAAAAAAAAAATTCTTTACCTTTTCTGCTCAGACGATTTAATTAGTTAAATGTCTCGGGACATTTTGATTGTGATTTAAATAGGTTCAATATCCAAGGAAGACCACAAGGTTGATGAGATTTTGGATCAACTGCTTTCTTATAATTGTGAAGACCTTGATGGAGATGGAGTATTGAATATTTTGCAAGAGCACTTGCAGATTAAACCAGTTGAACTGGAAAAATTACAGCTTCCAGATTTCCAAGAGATCCCAAAGATAGATTTGAAATCTTCGAGAAGCGGGAAGTTGCCAACGCGGAGTCGTGTCTTATTAGACGTAGAAAATATACTAAAAGGACTAAGCAGTAAAACACCTACTAAGCACGGACCGGGCGCAGAAAGTCCTTTTTCTTATGGAGCTTCTCCAACCCCACCAAAGAGTCCATTTGCTTCATTTTTATTGGTACATCAGGAAATTTTGCGCTCAAGTCTATCAAATGATCGATTTTCTGCTCATGATATCGATCAGCCAGTTAGAAGTTCTTCTTTCATTGAGAGCATAAACAAAGAAATTGATTTTGCTGATGAAAGAAGGCAGTCTGAAGAGACCGTCTTTGAAAAGGACGACAATGTTGAAGTTGCTGTGATTGATACAAGTAAACAAGATGGGGCTCTTAACGTGGGCTCAAGTGCATCTCATGTTCCTGTGGATGATAACATAATGAACAATGATATGGTTAATTCGGTCATGAATGATAGAGCATGTGAGCGTGACGCTAATGGGGATGCTCAAGCAGATAGAACTAATGTCGAGGACAAGGTGAGTTACTGATAGCTGGTAGATTGTCTTAAAGGTTATCAAAGTTTATCATCTTAATTTTATATGTTTTCCAATAAGGTACAGGTGGAAGACGCAGTGCAGGAAACACTGCTTCCGGCACAATCTGGTATCGAGATGTTGAACTTGGCTTTGGATAATTCAAACAAGCAGAGTCACTTAGGACTGGGCGCAGAAAGTCCTTTTTCTTATGGAGCTTCTCCAACCCCACCAAAGAGTCCGTTTGCTTCATTTTTATTGCTAAATCAGAAAAATTTGCGCTCAAGTCTATCAAATGATCGATTTTCTGCTCATGATATTGACCAGCCAGTTAGAAGTTTTTCTTTCATTGAGAGCATAAACAAAGAAATTGATTTTGCTGATGAAAGAAGGCAGTCTGAAGAGACCATCTTTGAAAAGGACGACAATGTTGAAGTTGCCATGACTGATACAAGTAAACAAGATGGGGCTCTTAACGTGGGCTCAAATGCATCTTATGTTCCTGTGGATGGTAACATAATGAACAATGATATGGATAATTCGGTCATGAATGATAGAGCATGTGAGCATGACGCCAATGGGGATGCTCAAGCAAATAGAACTAATGTCGAGGACAAGGTGAGTTACTGATAGCTGGTAGATTGTCGTAAAGGTTATCAAAGTTTATCATCTTAATTTTATATGTTTTCCAATAAGGTACAGGTGGAAGATGCAGTGCAGGGAACACTGCTTCCGGCACAATCTGGTCTTGAGATGATGGACTTAGCTTTGGATAATTCAAACAAGCAGAGTCATTTAGGTATATGGTTATCTTTTGCCAATATGTTCATAAAAAATTCAAGGGCATCTATTAGTTATAAGCCAGCAAGGATTTGAGTTCCCTTGACAATAAAGTTCTTTGCTTTCAACGTCAGGAATTAGATTGTTCTTTTCAGATACTAACATGCTCTTATGTAATGCTGCTTGCATACTTTTCTTCTTCTGTGATAGACGAACCAAGTACAGCTTCAATTCATGACCAAGAGGATAGGAACCCCGAAATCCCTGATAATGATTCAGAACAAGATTCTGAGGTTGTCAGCATACTCCTCTTTAGACCATAAACCGTTGGGGGAAAGTATTTGCCCTCTCCTATTGACATTTGGCTGACTAAATTTTGATGTCTTGTGAAACAGATGGAGGAAGAACATCCCAATATGCCATTGGATAAGAATCACAAAGCGACAACACAATCACAGAAATCGCGCAAGAGAAGAAAGAGTTCTCAGGGGAAAAGCCTCGGAGGTGTTTACTCCTTCAAATCCAGCATTGCTTTGTGTTACCTCTACCATGAAACCTGCTGTTTCTTCTTTTTAAATATATATTTTTTTTAATTTGGCGTATGTTTATCTTTCTAGGGGCTGGTACACATTGGGAGTCTGGGGTAAGGCGAAGCACCAGGATCAGGTGCAGACCTTTGGAGTATTGGAAAGGGGAGAGATTATTATATGGACGTATACACAGGAGTGAGTATCTCCAATCTTTTTGCTTGAGCAATTAGTTCTGGCACAAGTATTAAGGCATACTCTGCAGTTCAATGATTAGTGTTAATTTAACATTTAAAAAATATCTATTGAAGGCTCAACTGTCATGGTATTGTCTTGCAGCTCTTCCAACAGTTATAGGTTTGAAGTACGCTTCCCCGGGAAAGGGCAATGGGGCTCTCACTTTGAAGTCCTACGTTTCTGCCGAACACCAAGACCTTGTTGAACTAGCTGGTCTTCATTGAGACTGCTGTATCTGTATGGTTGAAGGATGTCATATCACTCTCTGACTTACTTTCTCGGATCATGCACTATCCTTCTAACCATTTTCTGTTTCAGAACCAAGTCTTTGTACAGGGGAAGTACGTCTTGATAAATGACTTGTTTCATTCAGAATAACTTGGTAGAATTACGTTACAAAAATGCTTCTCATTGTAAAATGTACTCTTACTACTTTCAGCACCAACCAAAAAAAAAAAAAAAAAAAAAAAGGTGCTCTACTACTTCGTCTTCATTTTGCTGCGATGAAGATATGGTTCACTCTTGCAATTTCCGCGTGAATGTATTGCTACTGCTTATCATCGCAAATACAAAGTCTTGGAAATGCGATCTCAAATGGTGGTAATTTATTTATTTTTAACAAACATATTCATAGTTAGGTAAAGTCTCTAATTCGGTACGGGATTGGAGCAACATACACATTATTTTTTTAAAAAATATGTATATTTTTTATTCAACACATTTATATAAGTGTTTAGATAAATTATGTGTTTTCTCATAATATATATTTTAAAAAGAAATATACATATAAAAGAGAAAATATACATATTTTTAAAAAAAAAATATACGCGCGCTGTTCTAATTTGATACTAAATTAGTGACAATTTCCATAAGTTATTCTCAATTATATAATTTTCACTTAAATAAGATTCTGATACTTTTTTTTTATTCTTATTGTCTGGCGCTGCTGTCCTTTGATCCGGCGCCTAGACGCCAGTCTTTTTAATTTTGCAATAGAAATTTTATTTGCTATTTTCATTAGTTGACGACAGAACATGCTTCTTAAAAGTGATACAAGTTTTGAAACAATGTGTAAAGTTGTAAGTTTGTCTCGGACTAAATGGGTTGGTCTGAAATTTATTACTATTGGCCCGGTTCGGACTAATAATTTAGGCCCAAAAAGCATAAATTTTTGAATGGATCATTCTCCATTTTAATTTGTGTAATCTTTTTCAATGATGTATTTTGTGAAGTGTTCAGTTTTAGAATTCGACATGCATTTATTCATTTTGAGCGTTTTATCTGGATTTACTCATTGGTGGAACCGATTGTTTATTAGAGTCGGAATTTTCTTGTGACATGTGGATTAAAAAAAAAAGGAAAAGAAAAGAACTTCCATGTGTCATACAACATTCATGCCGTTTCTACGCGAGGGAAGAACGTATATGCACGGCAATGCCTACATAATAGTAGATGTTTAACTTTGTTTATTCAATTGAGTATTATTTTGACAAACGAACGATTCTCATAAGGAACTTAGGAGTATTAATCTAATTACAAGCAGACAAGTAAAATTAACGAATCTATACGAGTCATCCATGAAATGACAAGGTTAGGGACAAGTAGTTAAGCCAACACATGCCAGGGTTGAAAAACACATATATTCTGCCTTCAATCAAACGACGCGCAAATATTATAAAATATGAACCGGTAGATAAGAGAATAATAAAAAGTTCTAAATGTAGCCATCTCATGCAGATTGATACTTTGATGTCACACTGCCTGTTCTGTACCTGATCACATAGTAATTGATTTTTTTTTTTTTTTTTTTTTTTTTGATATCCAGACACCTAAAAAATTTTCTCCTGTTGCCACTTGGACCTTTGGTATTTGTTAGCAAAGATGCTCATTATCTACTGCGTGGTGAAGACAAATAGTGCAGATACATTATAGGAAAACCGTTGGTGTATCTATGAAACTATTAAGCAACCACAAATATATTAATGAACCGACCAAATATAAATAATTAGTTCCATTAATTATCTGAATACATGTCATGCTGACTTTAGTTCCCGTTTTGGTTTTTCTTTGTTTTGTTTATTTTGTTATATTTTATGGTTTTGAATTGACAAACCCATATTTATGCCGCTTTGCGTTACATGATTATGAAACAATGTACATGATTATAATAAAAAATGTTATCAAAATTGATTATTTAGATGTAAACAGTAAATTTATAGTAGTTCCATCACTATATCGAATCGAAAACGTGTTATATGGCAAAAAGTCAGATTGCCCTTTTGAGAGAAGAAGGGATGGATTAGAATATTATGTGAGACTAATAAATAAAGCAAGACAAAACCGTTGACTCTGGATGACATTACAAGGAAGCAAGTAAACAAAAGTCTAAACTAGCTATGTGGTTATAACTGAATTAGAAGTTAATAATAAACAGAACAGGATCGCAACCTTAAACTGTAAGTTGACATTAATTGTATGAGATTAGATTTCGAGGATGGAAATGGAAACAATAAAATCATTATCGTCATCATATACGTCTTCTTTGTTGGTTAATTAATTAATTGACTTTTTTTTTTTTTTTTTTTTTTTTTTTTTTTTTTTTTTTTTTTTTTTTTCTATTTTTGTTCTTTATGTTTCACAGATCTTGAATTAGAAGATTGATGAATTTCCCTTTGGTAATGTTCTCTAGAATTGGCATTATAATTGGTTACTTGGTTTGAAACTTTTTAGCCAATTATCAATTTCATGTTCAGGAATAGTCTCTTTGGGAGAGAAATAGCATATTTAGTAGGATGTTTAGTAGATTACAACATATATATTTTTTTAAAATAATAGATTGTAGCATAATTTAATAACTTAAGTTTTAAACATTGTTAGAAACCTAAAAATACCCCTATATCTCTTTTTCCATCTCACTCTTTTCCCCTAAGTATTTATTTTTTTAAAATACTAAATTATAGTATATTTTTTAAAACATGTAGATTATATTCAAGTCCATCATGACCGGCTTCGATGACCGGCGGCCGGCTCTGACGACCATTTTTCGGTGGCCGAGGCCAACGATCGTTTTTCCGATAACTGTTTTTTTGCCGAACGTCTATATTTACTGGTAAATATAGTATTTACTACTAAATATTATATTTATCTAAAAATTCAACCACCGACTCTGACGGCCGGCTCCGACAACCGGCGTCCAGCAGTTGGGGCCGACGATTGTCTTCCTGATGACTGTTTTTTGGCTACCGTTTAACTTTATTTACGGTAAATACAATATTTATTACTAAATATCATATTTATCTAAAAATTCAACCACCAACCCCGGCAACCATTTAACACTATATTTATCAGTAAATACTGTATTTACTAGTAAATATCATATTTATCTGAAAATTTGGACACCGACTTCGACGACCTGTAACACCCTGAAGAATTAATTAAGATTAATTAAGGTAATTGAGATTATTAGTGTGCCTAATCTGGATTATTAATTGAGTTTAATTAATAAATGTTTCTGACACGTGTGAGTTTAAATAGTTCCAAGGTATTTAAATTATTCTTAGTAATTTATTTTAACCTAGAAGTGTGTATGGGCGCATTTCTGGACTGTTCTTTTAAAATATTGTACACATGCCCTTTTCTTTTCCTTTTTCCTTTTCTTTTCTTTTTCCTTTTCCTTTTCTTTTCTTTTTCTCTTCCTTTCCCGTGCGTCTCTCTCCCTCACTCTCTCTCTCACTCTCCCGTGCTCTCTCTCACTCTCTCTCTCTCTCTCATTTTTTGTCCCAAATCAAACGGATCTTGAACCAAGCAAAGATTTAAAGAAGTTTTCAACGTCAAGAGAACGATTCGAGGTAAGATTACTGAAAGAACCTCTCTTGAATCTCAAGTTTTTGGATTTCAAAACCTATTTTTGGTTCAAACCGGATTTTGATGGTTTTTGAGTAAACCTAGAGTAGAAATTGGAGATCTTGGG